TATATATATATATATATATATATATGTGTGTGTGTGTGTGTGTGTGTGTGTGTGTGTGTATACATATATATATATATTAAATGACTACCATAGTTATGTTCCTCAAAATTCCCACCACCTCAAACAGTGACCACTTGTGGTGAGAATGAGCATATTTAAGATATCTCTCCTAGCAGATTGCAAGTGTACCATATGGTTTCAATAACTATGGGAGCCAGGCTGTGCAGTAGATCTCCAGAACTTAATCACTCTGAATCACTACTAGAGTGTTCAGTTCATTAATATAAGTGCCAACATGTATTTGGCTTTACTATATTGTTGTCTAAATCTAAATCTGTCATCTTGCGTTTTGTTGAATTAGCACCCCCCCCCCTTTGGAGTTACTTAAGGGTGTGGGTTTTTGTTACTCTGTCTTCCCTTCCACTGCGTTGATAGTTTGGGATGATGTTACAGGTTAGAAAAATGTGCCTTTGAGTTACTGCAATTCGCCTGTAAGTTGGTACTTTCACCATCTGCTGTCCAATAGACGGCCTTAGACTTCACCTCACATATGCGGACTGCTATAATCAACGGTGTAGCTGGCATTTACACTTGTTGTAGCTTCACATATAATTTAGTCCCCACGAGATGTTGCTAATTGTACGTTAATCGCTATTCACTTACATTTACCAACGTATTTGTCTTTCAAGCTTCTTTATTTCGCTTATGTGCTCTGCTTCTACCCAGGGTCACTTCCCTGCTCTAATTAATACTTGTGCTACTGGTCCAATAGTAGTGAAGTATCTCTTCCAGTTTATCTGAGGTTCCGAATTCCATCTCATTCATCGCTTCCTTTCTGTAAGAAACCATACTGTGAGAGAGAATGCTTTTAGCGTGTCAGCCCCGAGGGAATCCACATGCTCAGTCTGTGGAGAGCTTCCTTTGGTCAGTGTGGTGTCTCCCTGAGCTTTAACCTCTCAACATTTTGCCCTCTCCAGCCTACTGGAGTGCTGAACAGGGGTGCTAGATCCATGCCTGAGTCGTTTCTGTGTGGTTATAAGTGCTGTTACATTTTTTATCATGATTCTCATGTGTTATCTCTATTATGTAGAAATACAATTGATTTGTGAATATTGATCTTATATCCCATGACCTTCACAAACTAATTATAGTATTCTGCAATTTCCTTCGGATTTTCCACATATGCCATCGTGTCATCTGAAAATAAGTTTGTTACCTCTTCCTTTCTAATCTGTGGCTGCAAAATAGTATCCTTAGCTTCTTTCACTGGGAAGGTCCACACAAGGGTAAGAGTGGGCATCCTGGGCTTTCCCCTCACTTAAAAGAAAGGCACTCATGCTGTCACCATTCAGATGCTCCGTGGGCTTTACAGGTGCTCCTTGCGAAGTGCAGGCAGTCCTCCCATTGCTAGTTTCAATCACAGGTGTGAGTATTGACTTTTGAAGGAAGTCCTCCCCATTACTAGTCTCAATCAATAACAGATGTGACTATTTGGCTTTTATTTGATTTTTTTTCTACATTTATGTTATGATTATTTGAACCGCTTCGTCTGTAGTTTATTTATGGTGGGTTATATTAATTAATTGATTTTTAAGTATTAAGCCAATTTCTCATCCTTAGCATCAACCTCACATGGCCCTGCTGTGTCATTCTTGGTGTCTATTTCTGGGGACTATTTGTTTACATGTTGAAAATTTTGCTGCATATTCATGAGTGATTTCTGCCTATACAATTCTCCATCTCATTTTAGTGTCAAGGAGTATATTGTACAGTATTGGTTGGTTGGTTGGTTGGTTGGTTGGTTGGTTGGTTGGTTCGTCCATCTTTGAAATGAGATCTCACTGAGCAACTCAGACTAGCCCCAAATATGCAATCCTCCTGCCTCCACCTCAGCACTGATTACAAGCATGTGTCAACTATGCCCAACTAGGACTGGTCTGACTGCAGCTTGGGTCATTCTCCCTGAAGCTTGTTGTGAGTGTTACAGTGTATATACTCCGTTGCCAAAGCTCACCAATTGAAATTTAGCTAACTTTAAGGAGGCATGCACATCTTACCTGCTTCTGTGTTCCTGATCTCCACCATCCATCTGGTTGTATTAAATACTCTACAGACACTAAGACAAACTATGTAGCTTTTGGTCTCAGGAAAAGAAAAGTTTATTTTGCCCCAACCCCAACCCGTTTTTCTCTTTATGGTTTGAGAAAAAGAAATCTTCCACGTACGCACACGCACGCACACACACACAAACACACATGCCTGCTCTCTTCTTAAAAAGCATTTGTTCTAAAATGAACTTCCTTTCCAGGTCGCCTGAACTGGTGGTCTACTGTGTGCACGAGCTGTAAAAGGCTTCTTCCTTTGGCCACGACAGGGGATGGGAACTGCCTCTTACATGCCGCCTCACTAGGTAAGCACCCCGGCACCAACAGAGGCCAGCAGGGCTCTGGATCTGTCTGACGCACAGTTAGCAAGTAGAACCTCCTATGCTGCTGTCATCTGGAAGAATGCCTGTGACATCCTGGCCCTTCTGGTCTACCTGGGTTGGTGATGAGATAGAACAGTGTCTTGCTAGGAGGCCTTGAGCTGGAGCTTCTAGGACACTAGGTAGAGAGAGTACCCTAAGAGAACTTCCCGGATGATTCTGTATCTTTACTGAAATGTCAAAGAGTAGAAGACACTGGAGGCAGGAGACAACACAGACAAAACACAAAGGCTGAACTCACAGGGTGTTCAGAGGCAGAGCTATGCGGGGTAAGGCTCCAGCAGGAAGACCTGGGAGCAGTGTGTGCAACAGGGCAGTTAGGAGCTGCCTGTAGACAGCAGTCTATGACGATAAGGTATCAGGTACAGGTGTACTCAGGAAATCAGAGTCAGATACACAGCATATGATTCAATGCCTTCCCCAGAGAGCGACATCAGCAGATACACAGGTGTGCTTGGCAACACTAGATAACTCAGTTATGCTGGACTTCCTAGAATCGCTGTCCACCCCTCTGGGACCAGTCTTCCATGTACAGGATTGACTCCATGTGACAGACAAATCTAGATTTCTCCCAGGAGTCTAGACATCAGATTCATAGCTCTTCATTGATCCTAGAGGATGGTCTCCGTCAAGGGAACAGGACCCTTAGATAAGGCCAGCTATCTTCCCAGTGAAATGTGACCTGAGCAAGGGCCAGGCCCACACCTTATTTAGACCATAGTGGGGCCTGCTAGTACAAGACAGGCTGAGAGTTCTGAGCATCACAGTGTGCCTCAGCATGTGGCCCAGAGAGGCCCAGAAGCCACAGGACCTAGAGTAAGTCCATAGGTTTGATGGGCACAATTTGAAAGACAAGGACATTCAGTTCCTGCTTCCTCCCCACAACAGGGCCAGCACATTCTGCCACTGCCATTAGGCCAGGTGTGAGGGTGCATACCTTTAATCCCAGCACTGGGGAGCAGAGAGCTGTGAGTTCAAGCCAAGCCTGTTGTACACAGTGAGTTCCAGGACAGCCAGGGCCACACAGAGACCTGTCCCCAAAAACAATGACAAAAGCAATGGCTGCCAAGAAACGAACTTAGTCTTCCTCAGGGATGTACTCCCTAGAATACAACTTGATCCCAAAGTGTCAGCCCTAAACATACAGACACACAAGCAGCACTGAGTGAACGCATCAGGTGATGTCTAGACATATCTATGTATATATGCAACAATAAAAAAGGTAAGAAGCCATGAATATGGGGAGTGGGAGAGGGAGACATGGGGAGAGTTGGAGGGAGGAGAGCAAGGGGAAATGATGTAAATACAGTACTCGTATGAAATTCCCAAAAACTACAAAAATGTCTCAAAATTTAAAAACATTATTCAATCAAAATCATTACTCAAAAGTTCCACAGCTTCTCAAAACCAACATGTGGGGACTGAGCATTCAATCACCTGAACTCGTGAGGAAAGTTCACATACAGACCCTGACAGGAATCCCTATTTTGCCTGTTAAACCACTTGCAAGCTTCCACTGTAATTAAGCACACTGAGACTCGCACTTTCCAATACAGCAATTGACAGTGTCGTGGATTATAGAACACCTGAAATGCAGCTGCTACCAATGGCAGCGCTATGTAATTCTAAAATGCACCATGTAGAAAACAAAACATAAAATATCTTCTTTATTCTTAGTGATTATATACTGAAAATAATGTTTTGATATGTTGAACTACATAAAAATTTGTTATTAAAACTCAAAACAAAAAAACATTCTCCTTTTTTTAAAAAATTGGTCACTTTGTTATAATGATCTGACAAATAAAAACTTTTTTTAAAAAATCACACAGCTAGGTTAAAGTAGCTAGATTATACAGCTCAAACTTTTGTGTATCAGTAAACATCTATATGGAGTTCTACACTTTCACTGTCAACTACGTGTTTATGGAGTTATCTACCACAAAAAGAAAAAGAAACTATGACAAAGTTGAAAGAAGAAAGACAGATGAGAGGGAAGGAAAGACAGAAGGAGGGAGGGAGGGAGGGAGGGAGGGAGGGAGGGAGGGAGGGAAGAAGGGAGAGAAGGAGGGAAGGAGGGAAGAAGGAAGGGAAGGATGGAGGGAGGGAAGAAGGAAGAGAAGGAGGGAGGGATAGAGGGAGGAAGAGAAGAAAGGAGGGAAGAAGGAAGGGAAGGAGGGAGGAAGGAAGGGAGGGAGGAAGGTTGGTTGAAGGGAGGGAAAAAGAAAGAATTCATTCTGCAGCTGGCAAAACTAACATCACAGCACCCCACCCGCAGTGCAGGCCGCTATCAACGCTGGCTCATATTATCTACCCGTCTTTTGTCAGTTCAAAATTATAGTCCTATCATGTTCACGTCCAAAGCCAACATTTCCTACTTAATTTTCTCAACATGCCTTCTTAATTTTAATTGGCAAATAATAACTGTACATATTTATGGAGGATGGCCATCTTAAAATGCCATTAAAGTTTCCTGTGCCTTTCTTCTCCTAGAATGTGATTTGGTTGTTGGATCTTATTTGTTAGAACACTCAATATTGTCTTCCTAGTACTGTTCACTTTATTCATATAAAACCTGGAGAACAGATCATGGAGGCACCATCTTCTAAAAGCTTCTTTGCAATCTTGGAGCCCACCGGCCCTTTGTTCCAGTACAGGCTGGGTACCCCTAATCTAAAAATCCAAAATCTGAAATGTTTGGAGCATCAACATGACACCATAAGTGGAAAACTCCACAACACAAACTTTTGTTTTGTGTACAAAATCATTTTAAAATCATTTTGAAATTACCATTAGGTCTGTGAACACAGGCAATACCAATGAACTTTATATTTTAAATTTACATTTTATCCCCAAGGTTTCTAGGTATGTCAATATCCCAAAATCAGAAGCTCTCCTGATCCCAGGCATTTTTGGAAAGTGGTACTCAACCTTTGGATTGACACAGCAAAATGCCATACATCCAGGATTACCCAAAGCATCCATGATAGGATGGGTACTGTGGGCCCATGATAGGATGGGCACTTGTTGACCAGGCCTGACACTGAACTGGGTAGCAGGGCACACATAGAAACAACAGTCAACGAGGCTATAGAGATAGCTTAGTCAAGAACCAAGACCAGAGTTTGGTTTCCAGAACCTATGTTCGGAGGCTCACAACCACATATAACTCCAGCTCCAGGGAATCTGACACCTTCTTCTGGGCTGAGACAACTCCACATGAGTGCATGCATGCTTGTGTGTGTGCATGTGTGCATGTACACAAATAAAAACAAATTCTTTTTTTTTTTAAATGCCATTTGTCCTGGAGCCAAGGAGGCAAATATGTTTGAGACAAGGGAAACTCTGTGTGAGAAAGACCTTGAAAGAGGCATGGGAAGAACCTGTCCAGGGAATGCCAGAAGGGGGAAACGTGTCTGAAGATGAGAACGGGACTGTGATGGTCACTTCTCTCCATCCATGCTGTAGGGAAAGACAAAAGCCTGAAATGTTACAATGCCCACAGCAGTCTTTGATTATTGCCTACCAAGGGTCACAGCCTGCAGTAATCGCAGCCACACTCTAGAGCAGCGGGTCTCAACCTTCCTGATGCTGCATCCCTGGAATACAGTTCCTCATGTTACGGTGACCCCCGAACATAAAATTATTTTCATTGCTACTTTCTAACTGTAATTTTGTGAATTATAATGTAAATATCTGTGTTTTCTGATGATTTTAAGTGACCCCCATGTGAAAGAATCATTTGATGAGAACCAGAGCTCTAGAGCTTCTGGCTCATTTGCAGGCCAGCCTGTTTCTCCTCTGCCTCCTTCCCTCCGTCCTGGTCCTGACCACCTTTAGCTCCTGTCCTTTTTCAAATGCACCAATGCCTGGGAAGAACCTTCTGCCTTGCCTGACAACTCACCTCCCTCCTTCATCCATCTGAAGCTCCTGTTGACATCTCCATCCATCCATTCACACCATGTCCGATGCTCCTGTCACACTGTCCTCTCCCCGCCTTGTCTCTCCTTGTGTTATAAACATTGTACATTACATGCTCACCTAATAGCTACCTCACTTATAAGTTGCCTATGATGTATGCTCTCAGATTGTAGGAAGTTTTCTGTGCCATGAATATTCTCAGCACCTATAATGGATGGAATGATGGATAGATGGATGGATGGATGGATGGATGGATGGATGGATGGATGGATGGGTCAGTGGTAGAGAGATGAGTAGGCAAGTCAATGGACAGACGGATAAAGAGATGGATAGACAAATAGGTGAATGGGTAAATGGATGGACGGTAGAGAGGTAGGTAGATGGGCAGATGGTATAAGGGTGAGGGCATGGATAGATGGAAAGTTAAGTGGGTGGATGGATTGTAGAGTAGTGGGTGAGTAGGTAGATGGTATAAGGATGGATGGATGGATGGATGGATGGATGGAAAGTTAATTAGGTAGTAGGTAGATGGATGGATGGATGGTAGAAAAATGAGAGAGTTGGTAGGTGGATAGATTCTCCTTTTTCCCCTGTTAGCTACATGGCTGTAACTCATTTCAATGTTCTTCTCCATGGTTGAGTGCTTTGACCATTTCCCAGCCACCCACAGTATGTACACAGGAATATATGGTTTATTTTTTCAGTCCCTCAACACCCAACAAAATGGAGTCCTTCTCCCTGGGAAGTCCCTGTAATGTCCCAAACATGTGCAGCAGTACCAACTGATATTGCTTCTCAGAGAGCTGAGATGTCCTATGTTAGGACTTCACACGTCATCTCTAGTAGGCCTTAAAGAAGCCAGGGTACTATTGGCCATCCAGATGTGGACACTCCAGGAAGATATGCCACCAACTTGTCCGAAGAGGTGCTTTCACCCAAACACAAGACAAATGTTCACAATGGTGGACACTTGGCCTCTCTGGAAGAACCAGTAAGAGAGGGTCCCAGAGAGAGGTAACATTCAACCTTTAGCTGCTGTTGCTTTATTAGGACATGAAGCGCCATTTCATTCATATATCTAAGCTGATAGGAAACACACATAACAACATGGGGGAAGACTAAACAGCTTCCTGATATGTTAGTCCCGTCCTCTGCACCCATGTGGCCCTTTGAGTGTCCTCTGGCTCACCTCTTCCTCATGTCCCTTCTTCTCTATCCCTCATGGCCTCCCGGCTACAGGAATGTGGGGCTTTCATGACCGGGACCTGGTTTTGCGGAAAGCTCTCTACACCATGATGAGGACAGGTGCTGAGCGGGAAGCCCTGAAGCGGAGGTGGAGGTGGCAGCAGACACAGCAAAACAAGGAGGTTGGTACCCACCTCTGCTGGAGGCAGGATCCACATCAGGTGCAGCCTCGGCCTGTGCTATAGCCCAGGGGAGCCCTTACAACAGCCCAGCCCAGGTGGACAGCAGCACATTCCCACTCACCCCTCCCGTGCTGCTGTGGTTAAGAAAGCTGCCTTCCTTCACTTTGCAGTGCCCCAGCATGGATAGTGAACTATATAGTCATGTATTGTTGTTCTGTGAAGCTCTTGACACCTTCAATCCAGAGGAAATCTCAGCGGCCCCAAGCAGTGTGGCATTAGCGCTTTGCTCCACTAGGAAAAGAATCCACCTGCTTTTGGAGTAAAATGGTGCGATGGCCCTTTAAACTGTTCAACCATCAGCCTCAGCCAGGTTCACTCATTCTCACAAACACCCAGGAATGACCTTGATGATCAGAGGACTCCCCAGCTCTGAAATCAGGGGCTGGAATTTCTGGCAATACATATGAGTGACTATCGGGACACTCACAGATATATCCAGTCTGGGTCCTAACGGGGCTTAGGCCAACCTGGGTGGCTTGGTACTGCTGCCTTTCCGGGAGGAGGAGGTGAGGGCAGGTGACAGAGGCTGCCTCCTGAACCAGCTTCCCTTCGTGCCAGTCAGGGCTGGTGTACACTGAGGAGGAATGGGAACGAGAGTGGACAGAGCTGCTAAAACTGGCCTCCAGCGAGCCTCGCACACACTTCAGCAAGAACGGCAGCGGCACGGGTGGTGGGTGAGTGCTACCCTGCTCTCCATGGGTCTTCCAGAGCCCCTGGCCACCCAAGGCCTCAAAGAGCTTGGGAGACGGGGAAGTGCCCCTGCATGCTAGCCAGGTAGCAGAAGACAGGGAGTGTTCATTGTAAATGAGGCTACATGGTGGGGAGGGGAGGCTGGACACGTGTACCCAGGCTCCCTACACGTGATCTCATAAGAGCTGCCCAGCCTGTCTCCCTCAGGCTCATCATAGAAAGCCAACAGTAGATAGAGGACTCGGGACACAACCAGGCCTGGAGGTGGCCTGTGGCAGTGGTTGTTGCCACAGCTGTCATTGCCTCTCAGGGCTATGAAGACAACAGCTGATGTCTATAGAGTTTTTCCGTAATCTTTTTAGTTTGTGGTTTCAAGTCACACTGAAGGCAAGAGATCATCAAACCACCCCAGTGCTTCCCAAATGAATTCCACAGATATTACACATGCTCTCAGCACAGAGGCCTTGTGTGTGCATTCAGGGATAGCTTAATCATGCAGGTCAGCTCCAGTATCCCACTGTGGGAATGAAGAGCAGGCCAGACCAACAGGAACATTGTGGACCAATGGGCCATGAAGTTTCAGAAGGTGATATTTGTTGCTCTTCTGTCCTGAAGGAAAGGTATTACCCCAGAAAAGGTCTCTGCCACAGCAAGAAGAATGAATCCTGACACCAAGAACAGAGACATGCCTGACTCCTGGCCAGCCTCAGCTTCATCTTCTGAGGCATCCTCTGTGCTCTAACGATCCACCACAGTGAGCCTGGGACCTACTGGGCCTAACCCTCTTGAGGTTCCAGCTGGAGAACAAGTTCCAGCAGAGCCCACAGGAACATGGTTTTGAACTGTGTTCCTACATGAGACCCTTCAGTGCAGAAACCCACAGTTCCACAGGCTGCTTGTTGCTTTGCTGTAGTGAGAGGAACATATTTAACATCTGAAGACTCTGTTCCTGAGACCTTACTTCTTATCAGTTCCATGCCCTCCAAGTCCTGGGTGGTCCTTCCAGTCCAGCGTCTCCTTCACTGTTGGATTTCCCTGCCAAGGAGAAGACAAATGTCAGTCAGCTGCCGGAGGACCAAATCTCTTCTGGTGAAGCACAGGGGGAGGAAAAGAGTAATAGCAATATGTGTGAGTGTCTGTTTTCCACTGCTATAACAAACTACCTGAAATTAGGCACTTCTCAAGAAAAAAGTGTATTGTATTGTTTAGGGAATAAGAAAAAAAGTGCATACAATTCTTATAGTGCTTTCATCTCAGTTGAGTCTTTGGATGTGGCGCCTACAATTATACAGATCTATATGGTTTGTGTGGGGGAAGGTGTGAGTATATGAGCATCCTCATGTGTCCAGGCACACGGCTGTATGTAGAAGCCCAAAGTAAATGCCTGGTGTCTTCCTCAATTGCCCACCTCTATTGAGGTAAGTCCTCTTAGTGCACCTGGACTTTACCATTTGGTTTGTCTTAGCTAGTCAGCTGTCCCTGGGAATCCCATCTCTGTACCACAGTGCTAGGATTACAGGCGGCCACCATACCTGCCTGGTTGGTTGGTTGGTTGGTTGGTTGGTTGGTTGGTTGGTTGGTTTGCCTCTGTCCCAAGAATCCTAACTCTGACACTCACACTTATACAAGAACCGTATGCAGAGTCATCTCTCCAGCCAGAGTATTTGTTGAAAGCAATACATGTTTTAAATATTCTTCCACTCTCTTTCCAAAAAACAAACAAAAAAAAATCCAACTCTATCTTCAAGCCATTAGGTAGACGAAGCAGGGTAGGGTGTCCGCAGTGGGAGGAGGAGGGGCAATGGGAGAACACAAAGACAGTAGCAAGTGCCAGGGCCAATCAGGGTGGAGAGGGAAACTTAAGGGGTGGCAGTGTTGGGGATGGCAGCAGAGACAGGAGACTGCGTACAGGCCAGGAGGCAGATGAAATGCTCAGAGTGGTCAGATTCTTCCAGGTAGCTTCCCACTGAAAAGCAGGAAGTTATCAGTAGGATGACCTTTATCAAGATTAGACTGGAGATGAAAGTCTTAGTGAACCTGGCATGTCCTGTGGCAGCTGCAGTAGGTGATTCACACAGAGAGAGAGAGGACAGGAGAGAGAGAGAGAGAGGGAGAGTGTGTGTGTGTGTGTGTGTGT